AGTTTTGGTCTGGCCGCCACTAGCTTTCTTCCAACCTACTCCTACACCACAAAACATAGCTCAAACAAAATAAGCATGGGATAACTTCCCGTCACAGACTAATTTCTACTGATGGTCCAGAGACCATGAATATGTTTCCTGAGTAATCCGAGTCTTGAGCAGTTCACCAGGTGAAATCAGTGGTTGTCCGAAACCAACCTCAAATCAATAGAAAAAAAATTAGCTATTCGTTCTGACAGAGAGTATAATGTAAGCAGTGATCCATGTCACTTAAAAAAGTACTTCCTTACTATTGATTTTAGTTGTATTCAATCTTTTTTCCTTGATTTCTAAAACGATGTTAGAATTATTAAAATTTTCTTTATTTGAGCAATGGTCATTGATAACTTTTTTCATCCTATTAACTAATAAATATTTCATTTATGGTATCCATCTAATATGGTGAATTTTATGAAAGATATAATTGATTTGTAAGTAATAAAAATAGAAATCATTAAGTACATTTCTGGTAAAATGTTATCTCTGAATTAAGTACAATGAATGTAGAGAAGAAAAAGGTAGTTTCCATTAAAAATTTATATTGTTCAATCATTTACTGAATGCTAAGACATGATGGGTATTTTATTTATCCTACTTTCATAATATTTATCAGTTTGTAGTGAACGTGTATTTACTGAGTACACTTAACTGTATTTAACACTGTTATTTAACCAATCAATTACTCTGAGGTAGTTTATGTATTCATTTATTTGAAACATACAGATATTGGTACAAGTAGGCTCCAAAATATATGTTCGCTACACAATAAGTATGAGGTTGTGAACAGATAGAAAAGGAACAATGAGTATGACAAACAAATGAGTGGGAGTTGGTGTATGAGAGTAGGAGAAACGGTTCAGTTAAGCAAAGTACAATCGGAAAGAATGTTTCCAGTAAGTGTTCTGCTTACGTGTGCGAAGAGAATGAAATAAAATTACAGCAGAGCCGTCACTAGCTACCATTCTGAGCCATGTCTAATGACATCTCAAATCAGTGAGTTGCACCATCTCTAGGACCATCACCAGGAATTCTTGGAGGACCAACAAATGCCAGTCCTGGACAGCTCTCTTTCATACCGCGATACCTTATCATAGACTGATCACGCGCTTTTCCCACCTACACGTCTAATCTACAAGCCAGTGTTGCTACGTAAGGAGTTCCAGTCCCTTGGCAGCTGGTGACCAGAAATGGGTTCATATGCCATTGGTTCCACCAGGATCCCAAAGCTCATGTGCGCCACTGGTTTGGAACCAAGGTCCCCAAACTCCCCTAGATGGATTGTCCGTTTCCACGAACCCGATTTAATTCTTGCCGGACATTTGTTTTCCATCCTCTTAATTTCGTAAACAACACCGCTGCTGAGAGAAGGAAGTGGGTAGGACTTCTCTCAAAGTGGCTATACACTTGCGGGCTCTCCCCACTCGCTGCCATACCAGAGTATTCGGGGGCTTCAGGCAGTAATCAACTGATCTTTTTGAGATTATTTACATCATACAATTAAAAATTATCACTATCATTATAGAAAATGTAGTAGATCTTAGAAAATCATACATTTCTACCATAACTTCTGATCGACTTATCTAATCAAAGCTAATCTTCAATTCACTTTATTAACCGACCTTCAGCTGAAGTCTTAAAAATGGTCTTCACTATAGTTAACAGCCAATCTTCTAAAATATTATTCATTATATTTAAGCACTAAACAAAATCCTTCGACATTCTATTGGTAAAGAGTCAGTATAAAATTGACTAACAAATATACAGTTACTTTACAGTTATTTTTTAAATACGCTGAAATGCATGTTAATAATGTGAATATATATATATATATCGGCACAGGATAGAGATATTTGGGATTATATGTCAAAGAATTTACTAATCATAAATAATTATCTAAGGTTCCTTCACTTATATTCTCATTTCTTTACATTTTATGTATATAATCATATTCATAACTATAATCCACTTATAACATTTATGGAATCTAACCATGTAGATCAGTACAGTAATAAACAGTATTTATTTAAAAATATTATTCCTTGGTCATTATTAAACTCAGTTATACATTATATGTGTATAGGAGACTTCAATAAACAAGTTACAGATTTCAGGTGTAATATTTATCACATTTTTTTAAATACAGGCCAAACAAATTCTTATGAGAGAGTGAACAAAGAACATAAAAATTGACGAACGAATAATCCTAATTTGAAAAATAAAATGCTAGTTGAAAATGAGATCAATTTTTACATTTCCTTTAGATTGATAATATTAGAAATTTAAGTAGGAAACATGTATGTTATACTAGTAATCACAAGAAGTTTGGTATAAACTATGCTAGATAATATGGGATTGAATGGATTTTATTCAATTTTCTATTATCCTAACATTAAAATTTGGTATCCTGTGTTGATGCACTTCTGTACTAGGATTGATTGTCTTGTGCGATAGTTTATCATGTAATCAACACAGAACACAAGGGAAATATTTTGAGTCCTTTCTGAATCACTGCTGGTTAGAAAAACATCAAATTGTTTCTACTGTTTACCAGATGCAATCAACTTTACATATGAATTCAACAACAGTTAATCACCGATTTGATTCAGGTGGGGAAGTTCAATTCTAATTTAGAACATCTCATACTACCCTACAGGTTTTTGAAACTGGCGATAGGCATTTAGAAGTAAAGAGCTAGCTTATCTAAATCTACTTGTATATGATTGACCTTAGATGATTGTTCATTGGGCTCTGTGGTCATCCTCCCATTTGATCAAGATTACAGTTAACCCCGTTCACTTTATAATCCCCTTTATAGGGAACGTCTTCTCATCGTGTGGCCGGTCGTCAAGTAACACTCTTCCTCATATCTCTAACAGGGCTCAAAATCATACTTGTTTTATTGTATAAAGATTTCAACATGAATGTCAATGGTCTTTTTTTCAGAATATTAATAATAATATTTTATCGCAATTATGAGTCAAAATTCATTACCAGCTTACTGAAAACTTATGAAAAGACAAGCATTTTTATACTTTCACTTGAAATGTAAGTATCTTAGACTTATCCTTTTGGAGTTCTTCAAAATTTGAAGATTTTTGATGCTTCCCGCTGTAATATCACAAACTATTGTTTTGGCAAGACAGAAATATTGAAATAAATGATTTCATTAAATGAACAATGTAATGTGACTTTATCACGATATTATAACTTCCTGAGTATTTAATCTACCGTTAAATGTCTCATTTAATAAAACATTGACTAATTCACTCAAGTGCTCATAAGTATCACTTTAGTTATTTTGTCCATGTAGCAACCCTGCCATGAGTACGACTTTTCTTTATGCCTAATCAAAATTCATTTCTTGCATTCAATATTCAATATAAAATTCGTATCTATTAATTTATTAAACGATCACACTCTTAACACGTATCAAACACAGTAAATGTATACTGAGAATTTGAAACTCATTTTTATAACAAGTGACTTTTTTTCACGTAAATAACAACGTATACTTAACTCTATAAACAATTAATATATTTTGAACACTTTCATTCATAAAGTGACTACAATCATTACGTGAATACCACTTTTAAAATAAAAGTACTTTCAACATTTGATTGTTTACTAAGATTTGATCTGTGATTCTTATCAAGCTTTTAAAAAACTGTTTAGTGTTTTCGATTTTTATATATGATACATTATGTGTTGATTGGTGAGTGAATAAGTTTTATGCGTAGAATTCCACAAACACCGTCAATCAGGTGGATAGCTAAGAAAAAAAAAGCAAACGTAATCTATGGAAGATTATTATTCATTGCTAAACTGTTGACTCAAAAAAAAGATAAAATCAATGATAAATATTAGCTAATGTTTGTGAAACATTTATCTGACAGATTTGATTGTGAGGACTGTACACACAGAATTTAAAAATGACATGTTATTGACTGTGACATTAATTTTCGAAAGAAATTATCTATCACCTACTTAAAAAAAACAGTAATGATTTTTATTTGTGAATGATGCAATTCGATTAATTTCAAGGGAGAATTACATAATCGTCAAACATACATTTTGTGATAACGGCATCATGCAACATGAATTCCGCAATGATAACACTGTTTGATCAATAATCATCAACAAACTGACAGACTATCTATATTACAATAAACTATCAAACGAATGTTATAACTAGATGCCTGAAACGTAATAGTTTTATTCTGTGCTGAAACCTTGAAGGCTGATACATGAGACTATACATGATAAAATCCGTAATCAATAAGTTCATGTAAGTGAAATTATTTAGATATCCTTTATATCTTACTAGATACCACCACTAGATGACGTAAAAACGTCAAACTGATCGAGGTGAAGTATTATTATTTTGTACACCAAGGAATATATAATTCATTGGTTTATTCTTTTGCTAACTTTCATGCAATCTTATAAGTAAACATTATTTAAGTCTATTCAATATGTAGTTGTTTGAAATCTCTCAAAAGTACCTGTCATTTATTTACCATAGAATTGATTTTCAAACCATCAAAACATGTTCAACTTGTTTACTAAAAAAAATTCAGATTAGACATTTTCAGGTCAGTATACTAATTACATTGTTTACAGAGTCAATATGACACTGTTATTCATTGTTGTGTTCTATTTTTCAAATAAATACATTTCAAAATACTTTTCAAATTAATTTAGTATTTCGAAGTTGTACGGTAAAATTTAATTTTTGACGTAAATATTGACTTGATGGTTTTGCTAATTACTTATAATGTTTTATTATTTTTATGCACATGTTTTACTTGTTTATTGTTCAAATACATTTACCAAACAAATTGATCCGGGTATTGTCCGCCAACTATTGTTTTTGTACATTGAATAAGTTTAATTGACAACATGTCTCATACATGTTTCGTCTTCTTTTTTGTTTTAAAAAAAATCTATCTTTCTGTATGAAGGAGCTGACTGGTTATCCACCGGCAAATTATTTACAACATACACATGCTTATCATGAAGCATTGGAAGCATTCAAAAGAATACATGGAGATGATTTATCAGAAGACATTTATGACCTGATCGTGAGTAATGATTCAGATTTACAGTCAAAAAGTAAAGGTAAATTAGAGAATTAATTAAATTTGTCTTCATGAGACTCACTTTATCTCTCTCTCCCACTCTCCCTATATATTGTTTGAAGTCAATCAACATCAGTACTGGTTATTAGTAAATTTCAATCAAATACATATTAGATGAATAGTTTTTGTCATAGGTTATCATTATTTGTTATGCTCGTTAATTGATATGCTTGAAATTAATACGAGTTCACCTTAGTCGGTAAACAAGAGCCAAGAAAAATGATCCAGTGACGCGATAGGTTACTCTCATCCGAGCGTCCCAAGGCTCCACTAAGTAGAAGATGTCTTGATAAGGCGTAGAAAGCGTATTCTACAAGAACCAAGAAAATCGAGGTTCACAAGTATACAAATCGAGTTTATTTATACATGATAGAAATGTCGTTGGGATAGCCACAAAAATAATGTCCTAAAATAATACATCAACCAATAACAGTCAAGGATTTTCCTGGTGGGAAATGTAATTTGAAGGTCAACCGATCGGCTCGTGCGCTAAAACATAAAATCTAAATATAGGACCTTTACCAAGTGAGTTTTGGGGGTCTAACGTTCCCAGCAGACAACATTAATTGAATTAGTGTATATGGCTTTGATTATGAACAACTATTCAATCCACCTCGGTTTTTAATTGGTTTCTCAATGCTCAACTGCACTCATCACAAACTATTCAACCAAACATTACATGCGTACGATACTAAAAAACAAGTTTCCTATATGAAATGTCTATGGTGTTTTCATAATCGCTAATGAACACATCGAATAATGTTGACTTTTTTTAAATTCATTCGCATATATTCACGTGCTGAAAAGTACAGAGAAAAAAAATCATGGGAATGAAATATATTAATTTTATTTATTCATGGCATAACGCATGATCCAGAAAATCGATTGTTTATCAATTATAGAGTCAACTTGTAAAAATGTCGGACAGTCATTGAATGCATATAAATGGAGCGAGTGAGCGAGGTTTGTATTTTCATTATAGGGATATTATGAAATGAATATAAAAGTACGTAATAAAACATTCTAATCATATGACTGACCTACATACTTTCAACACAAATAATTTTTATTGTGTATACAAAAAAATAATAATAAAATGTCGGACTTTTTTAACATGCCAAAAAAATGGTTCATTGATAAGAAAATACTAACTAGATGAATTTGAAATTCTAATCAAAATGAATAGATTACTAACAATGAAATGTGATAATTTCATGGAAATTGTAATTATGGATTAATATTACTTGAAGAATTGTTAAAAATCAAGATAAAATATGTAATATTAATCTGTTCAGATTTCAAGTCTTACGGACAGAATCTCCAAGTCCTGGGTACGAATCATGCGAAATGCAATAGCAGTGAATTAGCATTGTTGATGAGTCCCATACCAGGATGAAACGGCCTCCAGTACCTCGAGATTTCTAATGGTGGTCTAACATTGATCGATTCACGATTTCAAACGTGTAACTTAACAATCTTCACAACCCTGTAATACTATCAAACATAATGAATTATGCATTAATTCAAAGAAATATATCAGTTCTCTTTTTTTATCTTCTGATAGTTGGATCCCATCGCATTGATTTTCAGTTATTTCTTTTTCTTTCCTATTTACTTATTCATACCGCTTTTCCTAGGTCGACATTCGAGATCAATAAATTTTATTCCTATGCGTGGAAGCCGACTACAAGAAACTAGTTTCATGTTATCACCTAGAATAATGCGTAGAGCCAGTATAAAACTTTCATCCTCGGCTAGTTGTCTATTGAAAACCAGTCATTCATCATTATTTATAGAAGATTTATACAATCAAAATCATGGACATCCAACGCATTATGATGAGGATAATTCAAGTCAGGTAAAAAAAACAATTAAAATTACGCTGAATAAGTGATTGTTCTTTGATAACATTTTGTTTGTAGTGGTAATTTTCAGTCTAACTAACGAGTTAGTAGTATCATACTTAACTAAGTATAAAAAAGAGACCAAAAATTACTATAAGCTTTGATTAGGCTTATTCACATTCATTAAATCTGCTTCATACTAATGGCTAGATGAATATAAGACAATTTATGATTTTTTTAAGATAGGTTAACGTAATTCTAGGAATCAATCACCAGAAATCCCTTCCAGCATCATATTGTTTAAATTTACATATACAGTTCGTTAATCATTATCAGAATCTTTTACGCAGTTTATGAACGTCTGGTCCACCATATCCTCAGAGGGGCTTCAGGCGGAGTTTGAGCAGTTCATTAGGTGTTATATATTAAGGTTAAAATGTCGTTGATCATGGCTGTATACGTAAAACACTTCGAATTAGTTGACCAGAAACCATCAGCAACAACCTACTGTGGGAGAGCAAGCCAGATTCCAGCGGAGAAGCAAATCACAAAGAAGCGGTGGAAGTGGATAGGACACACACTGCGGAAAGTACCCAACTGCTCACAGGACAAGCCCTCCCTTGGAACCCTCAAGGCCAAAGGAAAACAGGGAGGCCAAGAAGCACATTATGCCGATAAGTAGAGACAGACATGAGGAAAATGAACAAAAATCAGACAGAAGTGGGAAGGGGAGCTTAGGACAGAGTAGGTTGGAGAATACCGGTCGGTGGCCTATGCTTCATTGGAGGTGACAGGCTCAAACAACCAGACAAAATCTCGTGAATGATGGCTTTGATGGTTCTCCAAGTTTTCGCCCTGTATAGTATAACTGTCTTGACATTCGTATTGAAAATCCTGACTTTGGTGTTGGTCGAAAGTTGTTTGGGTTGCAGATGCTGTCCACTTGTCAAAATGATGTCCTTTCTTTGCCTATTCGTGCCTTCACATATGCATCTTATCCACCGTGCTAATCATTGAGGCTATCCAGATATGTAGAAGTTTCCACATCTTCCAAAGCTTCTCTGTCAAGTGTAATTTGGTTGGTGCGTGTTGTGTTGTATCTAAGGATCTTGCTTTTTGCCCTGTGTATGTTGAGACCTACTGTTGCACAGCCTGTTGATATACTGGCCGTCTTCACCCGCCGCTGTTGTATAGGATAGACGAGCCAAATCATCTGCGACGTGTAGATTGTCCAGCTGCATCCTAGCTGTTCACTATATTTCGTGCTCCTTCTCACATGTTGGCGTCTTCATAATACAGTCAACCACTTGAAGAAAGAGAGGGGATGGGAGTAAGCAACTTGAAACGAGTCTATGAGCTGACCTCCACTTAAGATCTCGCCTCTGTAGTTCTTACACTTGACGTGGTCTCCTTTATCTGGTATCCTGATGAGGTATCCTTCTTTACAGTTTGTTGGTACTTGTTCTGCCTCCTAAATTTTGCTAAACAGATATCGGGAAATCTTTGCAGTTGCTGCTATGTCTGCTTTCCGTGTTTCGGCTGGTTTTTTGTCTTGTCATGTTGCTTTACCACTCTTAATTTTTGGATGGTCATGGTTATTTCTTCTATCGTTAGTGGGTTAACATGAATTGGGACGTCCGTAGGTGTTACTTTGATGTTGACTGGATTCAGTCGGGCTGGTCTGTTCAGGAGTTCTTTAAAATGTTCCACCCACCTGTTTTACTGTTGTCGGTGATTGATTTGCCCTCCTCGTTCTTGACTTATCGTTCCGGTTTACGTTCCTTTTCTAAAGAACTTCTTCATTGTATCATATAGTTGTCTCATGCTTCCTCTACTTGACGCTTTTTCCACTATCACTGCTAGATTTCTCACACATTTTTGCTTATCAGATTTGATAACCGTCTTCAAGCGCCCGTCGGCTTCTGGGTGTTCAGCTTCTGCGTCGGATTTCTCTGCTCATATTCAGTTAAGACTGGTTGCTTCCTTCCTATCCTACCTTTCTTGAATCTTTCCTAGAGTATCCACTGTGATCCATTTCTTTTGATAGTGCTTCTTGTGGCCCAAAACCTCATGACCTGCTGAGTATATTGCCTCTTTGATCCCTTTCCAGTTATGCTCCCTGATTATTTCTCCTTCACTGAGGAGTGTGAACGTCCAGGAACCTATTGCTGAGAGCTCCCTCTAATGTTCTGAGTTTGTCTGTGTTCCGATACAGCTGAATTAGACTTTCGTGATGCTGTTCGAAAAGTCGTCCAGTACTTCTTGAGTTTCAGCTGACACAAAGTAGTGATATGAATATATCTCAGCTCCTCTTTATATTTTCATACCTACCTTATTTTTGAATCTTTTTTCGTTCAGATGTGATCAGTTTGGTTCTCTATAGTATGATCCAGTGAAACCTATGTCGCTTTGTGTATGTGTTTGTATGGGAATACAGTGACACCTATGACCATTTTGTTGAAGGTACATAGGTATGCTTTCTCACAGTCCATGTCTTCCCATGTTGTTTTTATATCTAGTGTTATCCATTCTAATCATGGCGCTTAGGTCTTCCATCGTTTACTGGGCATTTCTCGATGACTGACTGTAGCCTCTTACAAAATTGATCTTCAACTTTTTCATTGTTATCGTTAGTGAGTGTATAGCACTGAATGACATTCATTGTAAATCCCTCTTTCTTTGTTTTGAAGGATGTTTTGCTGATTCTGTATTCATGAGATCCTCATCCTATATGTGACTTTTGTTGCTATGTTCGTCAGAAGGGTCATCCGCCTCAGGACTTACGAAGAAGCTTGGCTTTCACCATCAGGCATCATAACTCTCTTAACTCTAAAGACAGAGGTTAAATGGTTGGAGTGAAATTTTCTGGTTAGAATTGTTTTAGCAAGTTTCTTTTCTACAGAATGGGGTTGCTAACCCTATGCCTAACCCTTCTCCTTTATCCTGGCTTGAGACTAACAGTAACCTTAGAAGAGTTTAGGGAGGAGTTGACAAATTTTTTGCTACTAATACTATATTGTGCCTGAAAGAATTCGTTAATTTATTCCACATTTTGTTATCCATTAACTTAAACAGACTAAATGAAACAATGGATATAGATTAGCATTGCTGTTTTCACTTCAACGGTGCGTCATTTCTTGGATGAATATTGACAGCAACTAGTAGCCCATTTTAAAAGTTTACATTGTTTTTATGGTGTCTAAACTGTAGATTAACAAATCAATATTACAAGTGTACAAGCGTAATACATTAGCAGGTATCACTTTGCGTGTTTGATGTAAATACTACTTCCCAAGAAGATTTTGATAAACTTTTTCAAATTTTCTATAAATAAAGCGAAACCTCTTTATTCATGACTATTTAGTCCTAGAAATAATCGATCTAGTTTAGTAGGTATAAGTAGTGATAATTAGTGTGAAACACGCAGTATTGTAAACTGATTGAATTGGGAAAAATAGATTGTTGGTTTCCGAATATGTGGTCTGAAGAGATTATATTCTTCTTCGGGAAATGAAGGCTGTAATTTGATTCTGCGCATGATATCGGATCTAGACTAGTGAGTAATCACAAGCTGGAACGAAATAATTGCTTAGTTCTCTTTAGTTTACCGTGGTTCCCTTACTTATATACGTTAGTGATGGAAAATGCCTTACTAATGAGAAGTTAAAAGCTGTGGATATCAACACAGTTTACTGATCATATGACTGTTGGGATGCCACTGTTCACACAAGGGAAATGGTGTCTTGGGTTTCGAGGCATCTTCAGTTTCGAATTACCTTCAAAAATCTTCAGCATTATTTCACCATCTAAGGTCAGTTCTAATTATTATTCACTTAACCTGACATGTTAGGTTCATGGTTAACTACTAAGCGAAGTTACTATACAATATGAAAATGAGAAGGTAATATAACCTCTAGTAGCATTATTTACCTATAATATTCACGGATCAAGCAAAGGCGTTACTGGTTTGATTTCCATCTATTCTGTCAATATCTGAGTATTCATGTATTATCGTTGATGTTACCACTTAGTAAGATATCAGACTGTGACGTAAGTTTGAATTTCATCATGAACCACTTGCTTCCTTGAAATCACAGATGATTCATGGTCACAAATATTAACCACCACTTATCGTAGATCTAGCATTCCCAGTCGATGAACTCTAACCACTTAACAGAGTACTAACGGATGTCGACTCTGGCACAATAGATAGGAGTTATAATGTACCATATAAGAATCTTAATATTAATCCTTTATTACTTTTTATTATTTGCTTACAATATTTAATTAACAGGTTTCCCTAATTCTGCTAAAGTTAGTTATCTAAACACTATGGAACAGCTTAGTTACATATTTTTATTAAAAAATTAACTTATTCATTATACTCTACAGACTAATTATGCTCGTCCTTTTAAATTTGTTTGTAGATTTTGGATGATCCAAATAATTCTAGTCATTTTATAAAAGATAATCCATACGATACATTGAATTCAACAGCATCAATAAAAAAACCTTCAAAAGAAAGTAGTCTAATGCAAAAATTGAACAAATCCATTCCTCTAGCTTTGAAATCACGCTTTACCAACAATAATTTAGTGAAATCCAATTATGATAGATCTGCTTCTAGTCCATCTTTATGTGAGTCTGGAATCTTTGTTCGGCAGACAATTGAAACAACAACAACAACAACCACCACCACTATGAAAACAATCCTAGAAGCAGTCAAAAATACTCCAATCTCCTCGTCTCCATTGTCATCACCATCAGCAATTTCAACCAATACAACACAACCATTGTCCAGTCAATCAAGTAGGATTATTTCCATCATCAATGATAAACAAGAAATTTGTAATCCTTACAATTTTAAAGATATACAACAAGCTATCTCATGGCTTGAAGTTGAATTAAATGCTGTAAAGAATATAATGATGGCTAATATGAAGTGTGCAGATGAGAATAAAAGTAATAGAACGTCTCGTAAAGCCTATAAATTAGCTGTTAAACGTAATCAAGAAACTGTAAGTGAATAAATAGTTTTTAGAATTTATCAAATATTGTAGTGCTTAGTAATTTACAAGTCACAACTAATTAACTATTTACAGTCATTATAGAACTTGGTCGATTACTCTACATTACTGTTTAAATTCTATACAAGTGTATATGATTTATGCTGCTGTAATATGAGACATTCTGGTCAGAACACACACGTACCAAACACAGAATGATTGATTACAGTTCTTAATATCAACAACTGGAAAATTTAAATCATTAAAAATAAAAATTTAGTATTTTTCCTATCAGTAGTACTTTGGATTTTGTTACAGATATCTTGAGTCACTTCATACATGAATTCAACCCAAATAGTATAATTTCCAGTGACATGTATTCATTGTGTATCCTGATATATTTAAATATAACTACATCGATGAATATCTCTTGAGATGATACACTTTCATATTAGATTCAACACTGTCTATTTCCATAACCACATCTGTTTGAATGTATTTGATCTAGCCAAGTTATTGATTAAAACCTATTTTCAATCCGTTTAATATTCCCAGGATAAGTTTATTGGCCACCATCTAACGAAATGATCATAGAAGTGATGAACTTATCAAAATTTAAATCATTTCCCTAATAAATCCGTTTGTGTTTTCAACTAAACTAAATGAGGTTGTAAAATCAAATCAAATGGATCATCCATAATGTAGTTTTATCATTTGCCAGAAATACATAATTAATTATTCTATACTGTTTTGTGTAAAATCGTATTTTTCAGCTTCACATTACTGTTTACGGTTATTCAATAATTTAGATTTAGTAAAACTGAAGTTTACCAAACAAAAAATGACTCGAAAACTACACAAATATCCTACTTCTTTATAATATAACTATTCTAATTAAAGTAGTTAATTGAAAGTTAACTGATACTAAATTGATCTAATTAGTGGATTACACTACTGTTTAACAATGATTTAAGCCCTGTGATAATAATTTGTAATGACATGGCATAAATTAGAAGTATTTCTACAATGTTCTAAATGACTTTGAAATATGTTAATTAGGGGCTGTAAAATCTAGAATAATAACTTCACAAGTGCATCATTCCATGGTTCACTAACACATAGAAACAATGCTTACGACTGAATTTCGGCTGAACTACACGTTTATTGATGGTAGTTTGGTGATTAAAACACTCTTGTTTTGGATGATGAACCTTCAGGTCAAACGTCTCTTGACTTACTAGTGTTTGAACCTTCAACCTTCACATTAAAAATGTAGCTTAAAGCCGAATACATACAACTATACGTGGTCATTATTATTATTATTATTATTAACCTTAATTAACACTCAAGTTAATTAGAGTTAAATAACTTATTAACTTAAGTTAGCTTAGTTAAAAAGCTAAACATTCACATAATTCCTCGGTTTTGGTTCATTCTAACCTGGTCAAGTGAGCTTTGTTATATTCTAGGTGTACATTAAAGATTTAATAAGTCAAGTTATCTAATGAAAGGTTTTTATATTAAATCAGTCATGAAAAATCAATGTCTGGTGAAGAGATATTTTAGTAGTGGTATGATTGGAGTTTAAATTAAATATATCATCTACAAGCTATTCAGCCAAGACCATTGTTTTTTGAACCAAAAGAACTCAAATTATAGTTGTCAATATTTTCGAATTCAATCAGTTTTTAGTGTTTACTATTTATCATTATAAAAAAGTTATATAACAAAGTGGGGATATTGCATAATAGTAGAGTAGTGATAAACAGGTACTTACTACCAGATGGTCTTTTGTCTGCTTTCACAAAATTCTATCGGGAATTAGTGATATTGTTGGGGATGTTAGATCCCCAGACCTTGCTTGATAAATATCTTTATTTTGGATTTATTTCATGGACCGGTCAGTTGATCTAAAGATCACAGTTCCCACCAGGAAAATTCTTGGCTGTGATTGGTTGTTGTATCATTTTAGTGTGCTATTTTTGTGACTCTCCCAAGGACGTCTCTATAGAGTATTAATAAACGCATTTTGAGTGCTTGGATTCATTGTGTGCTGGCTGGGTGTTTGTAGAATACACTTTCTACGCTATATCAAGACTTCTTGCTGGTACAATTTGGTCAAGGGATCACAATAGCCTACCTGGACGGTTGTTCATTGTTTTGTTCTCGTTATTCGTCGAGCATAACAGATATATGAAGTATGAAGCAGTGATATGAGATAAGAATCAACTAAAGTTGGAAATATGAACCATTCTATTTTTCTACTTAGCAGGTGGATTGAAATCAAGTTTACCAAGAAACTCTGGATATTGGCAATGCGACCGATATTAACGTGTGACTAGAATAATCTAAAATTTACAGTAATTTCCACATAACCTCTGAATGTTGCTTTTTTTCTCCATATTTTAGATAACTAACCTTCAAAATCAAATACACGGTCTACAAATGTATACTCAAAAACGTGAATTATTTAAATGTTCAAAAGCTGAAACGACATCATCATGTAATGCTGATCATTATATGACAAATCAATCATTCCTTAGAATGTCTTCATCATCTTTATCATCACCATCATGTTCCTGTTCACCGTCATCTTCATTGATGTCAAGTGAACAACGATCAATTGGTCAGTCAACAAATGAGATCTCGTCGAAAATAAATATTCTAAAAAAATATAGTGAAAAATTTAAACAATCATCTATTAGTCGTTTCAGTTTAAGAGATGCATTATTCACACCGAAAAATTCTGATGATATTGAAAAAATTTCACCTCCAATTCTTTTATATCATAGTAATAATAATCAAAGAGATCTACCACAGACACCATTTGAACCTAGCCAATTGAATAATAATAATAACGATAATAATAAAATCATTAATAAAAAACCTATTGACACATTAAAACAATCATCACCTAGTGTATCATTGAAATCTTCTCAAAATAATCAAATCTCACATAATTCAACTGGTACACTTCAGGCAAGTATTAATTTAAAAGAAACAGCCACAGAAACAGTGAATATAAATAATGGTTTGGAAGATGATAGTAATTATGAAAATATATATGAATATGGGCATCAAAGAGACAAGTAAGGATCATGCTTTTTGGTAATAATAATAATAATAATAATAATAATAATAATCATGTATACTCACTCACTAATATCGAGTTTTAACGTTGAACAGTCACAATACTGACTTACTACTCATCACCATCATTACTTTAAACAGCTGACAAACTTTGATATTTGGACAAATAAAGTTGTAGTAAAACAGGTAAAGGTCTACTTTAAGGTTATTTCTATTACGTAAATCAATGGTTCACTGACAGATTACCTCAGAGTTTCAGAAACTTCTCAAAAATGTCTAAACTAATACTGCTGTGTCCATGTCTATAATGTACAAGAAATTGTTAATTGTCTATGTATTTAAAGCATTTTGTAGGTTCCAGGGAACATTTTCGAAAAATTATTCGGTCAAAATGTAACAGATTATGCTCTTTACTTATCAATGAAATCACTGCTTATTTAAATCTTACAAAGTGCTTCATCTGAAGGAGAAGTAATTCTGAAAATAAAAGTAAAGTTATTTATCAGTAAGCTAATCACACTGAACACGTCGCTTATTGCACCATAGATTTAATCGCCCAAAGCAGTTGTTTCCGTTTAGTCATTTTTATGTTGACTAATGTAAAAAAAAGTTTCAATTCAACATATAAATGATTCTATGGATTATCATTATCCCGTGTACAGCATTAAAAGTATAATCTATTCAATATAACAGGCATACAGTAGGTCAATTTAATTTCTATCTATCTAGTCGAGTAGAAAATTCGAAGTATAACGATAACCCACAAGCTCAATTAGATAACTAATCTTTTATTGAATCATTCATAACATATTGATTCATTGATTTCGTCGACTGACGGGATCATACTAACTGTCTTATGACTAATCAGGATACATTTGAATGAGAATTCACTTATTATATAATCATATATCATTGCCAGTTTTATAAAACAACTCATTTAAAACGACTGAATATTAAACTGTTTATTACTCTCACTATTTTTATTAACAAATAAAATTCGCCTCATTAAAATGTAAACTGTGATTGTTGAACCAGTTAGAATTGATTTCATTGAACAACTAGTTTGTACTATTGTCTAGTTTGTTCATTTTATTTTTGTCTCGGTGTTATGATTGAATAATGAAGTCTATTGATTAACAATATTCGCTTATTATGTATAGTATGTATTTTTTTTTTAATTATTTGACCAACATGTAAATTCTTGATCATTTGTTTCATGATAGTCTGACTAATAAGTAAGCACTGTGAACATACAAATAACTTGATAATATCTTCATTTTTACAAATTAACATTTTTTTCTCTTCATACTAAAGTTTAATTAGAAAAATTGGAAATGAAAATTTCTTAGCTTATTCATGATTGAAAGTAGTATGATAAAGATATTAATGTCAACGCCTGTCTGATGAAAACCAAATAAGTAAGTACACACACGTACACACACATATATATATAAATACCTATTTACACAAGTTTAGCAAAATTTTCTTCTTTAGTCTCGTCCAAAACTTCTACTACTGTTTTACTATAAATTACAGAATATATATATATATATATATATATTTGCACTTTTTTTCAGCGACAGTGTCAAGACTTCTTTTATTATCTAAATATCATCTCACGTTTGTATGACTAGTCATTCTTGGCTAGTTTCAACCAGTTAATAACAAAAGATATAGAGAGGATGAATCATATTTTGTTTTAAAATACAAGCTAACAGTTTAATTAATATTGATATGGATTCAGAAAGGAAGCCAGTTTTATTGGTTTATTTGTAAATATTAAGTAAAAGTCCATATCCAAGACAATATTCAGGTGTTAGTGTTGAAAAAACAATTATTGTATTATATTGACATTCTAATGTTTAAAAAGGTCATTTTTATCACGAAGCGTTGTCCCTGGAAAATTGGTGAAAGCTTAAGAATCAAGAGATAACTCTTTACCAAAATCAGAAACTCCTCGATAGTTTGTACACACATGAACCCTTACAACATCGAACCAACTACTCTCATGTGTTTGTCTTAGCCACCGAAAAATTGAAACTCGTAAGTTATTTCCAACTTCAATTACTGTGGATTATAGCATGGTCCTTTTCTAAAGTCATCGATAAGTTATTGTCTCATTATCAACTTGATTACTGCTACGGCGAACTGCTTTCCAAAATTTTCATTTCAAGGCTAATGAGAACATGATTACTACTAAATTCATTTAAATATATTTTGGTTGAAGAGTATTTAATCAGATTAGCTGCACTGAAAAAAGATAGTAGTTAAAGTTTAAACTTAAATATACCTTTTACTAAGGTAATCATAGGATCCATGCTTTAAATTCGCTGCACCCAAAGCATTCTTTAGTTCAGAACATAGTGTCTTCAAATAATTCAAAGCAACTTTAATTCTCTTTAAGATTGTGAGACTGAAGAAATTTTTAGTTCATACTATGAACTAACTTCGGTAAGACAATAACGAAGAAACACGTGAAAACACTTTTTTACTGGCATTTATTTTCTCAACAGTCAGTATACTCTACTTAGGTAAGAATCCCACTGAAAACAATCAGGCCTCTCGAAAAGAGCACATCCCTCAAACCTCGTAGTTGGCACTCAGTGGTAAACACTACCAATTTCAAACATTTTTATTTTAACATAGAACTCATTGTGATACTTAACTTCACAGGCAAAAACAATATTTACTAAAAATCATTGTTGAGTTATTGAAACATGAATTTAGAAAAGAGTATGGTGTCGGATGAATTAACAGTTTACATGTATCTGAATTTTTCGAGTCATTTTTTTCGTTTGGTGAAGTCAACATTACTCTTTATTAATTATTACACCTGTTACCCCTTAGGGACCATCAGCTGCTAACCAGGATTCCCCAACCAATTCTTTCCTGGGCTCTCTTTTCCAGTTATTCCACTAGGAGCCCCTCTAAAGTTTCTGTTGGCCCCAAGTTCGAACAAAAAAGGAGAGTTGGGAATGGGGTTAGCAACCCCATCTCATAGAAAACAACAACCTTGTTAAAAAAAACATCGAACAGTACAAATTATCTGAACCTTGTAATCTTTGCCCTGGGATTTGAAGAGTCTTCATCTAGAAGACTAATGACGTCTCACTGTGAAAGCCGAGTTTCTTCGGAAGGTACGAGGCCAACGATCCTTCTGACAGCTAGAGCAACAATTAACATCAGTACACAAAATTGCTTAACTCCATTAAAAACCTTTTTCCAATTCATCAATCTGAAATCAGGTTTTTATTTATCACCTCGTTACCTTCCTTTTTCAAATCAATTGATAGACACTGATGACATATTTATTTTTTATCTGTCTATCTACTTGATTAGAAAACTATAGACATAAAGACAACCTTTAAATTTAATTAAATTTTCGTTCCTGTATCCATTAATTGATTGTTCAGTTTTTCAAACAAAAAAAATACAAACTTGATCATTCATTCACTAAAACGAAAGTCATCGTCACTATTATCAACTAGTTTAACAAAACGTAATTATTTTTAGAAAACAAACCAACCAGTAGATTTTATTCGAGTAAACTGAAAAACAGAACCATAAATCTAATTAATGACTGTATTGATCAACCTAAGGAGACTGAGCACATTTTGGATATACAGAGTAACACGATGATAAATTATTTGTAAGAAAACAAATAACTAGCCATTCATAAGGCAGTACAATACAGTATATTCTCTATTCCGCTGGTAGACGAACATCAAACGATGGATTAACTTAACAGACGCAAAATGAATCATTTTGTCCTACTCTAGAAAGTGTAAGTATTAACACTGGTGTGTAGATTCATCTATCTGAGAATTCCCGTAAAGAATGAAATTCACTTCTTCAGTCACCGCTAGCCACAATCCAACATAGCTATTAACAAGATGACTTCAACAGAGTATTTCTTGTAAAAGAAATCATTTTGAAATGTTTCACTCAATATTCTAAACTTTGTAAAATTATGAATTGATATTCTTAGTGAATATTTATATATATATACCACATGAACCTCATATTAATTAAGATAGATCAGAATATCGACTTTTCAAATCATTTTCTCTTTTTAAGTACCCAATCGTAAGTCAAAAACACGCCACACACACACGCACACAATTCATTGTAAATAAATCCAATTATGCAATAATCAGTTTTGGCTTTCTAAAAAAATCTTTTGCATGGAAATGGATTGGTCTATAAAATGTACGGATTATATTCTTCACAGTTATCGATTTAATTGTGTTCACATTGCAGCGGTATTTTAATTGATTGACATAGCGTAACAAATAAATGAAGTTTGGAATTGTTCGTCATGTACATTGGCATGATTTTCTGTTGTTGACAGCTTTCTGCAAGTGTGTGCATGCTGAATAAACGAACTGTTTTCATACTATTTAAATTACTTGTAGTTACAATTAATAATAAGTTTTTACACATTTGAAATCATCAGTCAATCACTGTTAGACCACCATTAGAAACCTGGAAGCACTGAAAGACGGCCGTTTCGTCCTGGTGTGGGACTCATCAGCAGTGCGCATCCACGACTCCTGCGTCTCGCGGAATTCGAAATAGATACCTTCGGTATTGTGTGCGAACGCCTAACCATCGGACCACTGGGCCGGCATCCAACGGTGCGCGACCTCACCCATTTGTCTTTGGTAGTTACTGCCTACACCCGACAGGGTTGAACTCCACTGGTCACGTCTTCTCACTAGAACTCCGAGAATTTCCTCACGAAGCTAGGCACTAATGAGCACTGTTACGATATTTTTAGGCAGAGCTTTGATGATTTCAAACGTGTAAAAACACAAACCTCGAAAGCTCGGCCTGAAAATAATAAGTTTGTTAAAGACAACCTAAACAATGAGCGAACTTTTTGAAAACTACAATTCGGATGTTAACTAGACAGATGTCATTAAAATAATTTACCTTACTTAGTTATAGATAAAAAATAAATATTGTCATTTCAATCTATGAAGGATTAAAAATTGTTCAATATTATACAGAGTAGTGCACTAATAATTTACAACTATAATAATATTTTATTAATTTGAATACTGATTTCAACTTAATGAAAATCAAAGATCATTTATTTATTTCTCTGCAGTATTATTAACATAATCGAACTTTAGACGAATATCCAGTGATTCGAGATTATTCGATCATATTTTTCTAATTTTAGTTACTGTGTGGTATTGTCCAGCTCATAATTCAGTGTAATCTATTTGCACTGAATATCATTTTTAATTTTTTGCACTCAATAAAAATTTGACTTTCACAAGAGAACCCTGAAATACCCAGTTTGGCACAAGTTATCATCAAGTCTGGAATTTTAACCCTTGACATATGATTTACAGTGTTCTAGTTGATTTAGAGGTCAAAAGTTAGAGTTTAGACAGCTGATGTTGAATATATAAATATATATATATATATATATATAATGTGCAAAATTGGACTAGATCAGAGTTGATAGCCGTATCAGCTTTAATAGTTTTAAAGTTTGTGTTAGTATGTCTAAAAGCAATACTGAGACTGGGCATTTATTTTAAATCATGAACCGATATAATTTAGACTGCTATTGAAAACTCGGCAGCGTTGGATGACTGTTTGGTCCTAGTATGGAACTCCTCAATATTATGCATCCACAATCCCACACACAGTCGGGTGCCACCTCAGTGGTCCGGCAGTTAGGCGTTTCATAAGCAACAGGGAGGGCTCTGGGTTCGATTCCCGTTCGAGAAGTCATTGGCGCGTATTGTTGAGAGGTCCCAAACAGCCATCTTATGCCTTTGAGCTTTTAAATGTAATCTAATTTAGATCGGTTCATAATTTCAATCAAATTCAATAATCTCCACAATTCTTCACTTAAAATTTAGTCCTTGTTTTTTCATTTATTTGTTTGGTTTTATTTTTTTTTTTTGTTGCCAAATTATTTATGTTTATCAGAGTTATCCTTAACACAAATTTTCAGAGAAATTGCGGATTTCACAAAATAAATTCATCCTTCAATCAGTTTTAAACATTGTAGAACTTGTCACATACACGTATCGGTTCAAGTTATCAAAACCTAACAGCACAACGAGATAAAGTTGTTAAAACGAATTGTAGAGTAGCAATAATAACAGTAACGGTGCTAGTAGAAACTATTAAGTATATGCATTATGACTTGTTAATTTTTAACCAGTAAGTGATGTCATCTAATGAAACATTGAATGCTAGGAAACAATGAACTCCCTGACCGGACGTCGGGTTAAACTCAGGACTGTCAAGTTTAGATACGATCACAATACAAATGAGTCAATGAATTGAAATAAAGCGGTCTACAACATGAACTTCAGTTAATATACAGTGTAGTTACATTTGTTGATGAGTATTTATAATTGTTGATTATATTTTTAAATAAATGAAGACGTAACTCTAAAAATATGAATCTAATGTAACTGTCAAATATCTATAAAGTTTGACAGAAGTAACCCTTTTAATCAATTTCGGATAATCTAATGACACAGCGAAGTGTATTAGAGCCTTATGTGATACGACATTTACGCGGTTTGACTTTTTTATTTCTCATATATAAGCATCTTAACTAGTTTGTGATGTAAAACTAGAAACTTAACAATCTCCACAACTCTCAGTACTATAAGAATCAGTAGATTTTATTTATATGATAACTACTGATTAGTTGAGTCAAGTCCATTGCTTTTGTGTTCAGCTGTAGGATTTTATTAAGCTTGGATGTTTATTATATATATTTACATATTCATGTTCTTTTTTTGCTATTTGAAAAACAAATTCTCTTCTATGTATCTTTAAAAAAATTACTTTATTTTAGTAATAATTTAACCACAACAAAATCCTTGTCACCGGTACCATCCTCTGTGTTTGATATGGATGAGTCTCAATCATACAATACAATTCTTTCAACATCAGCTAAAAGTTTCAGTGAGTTTGGAACACAAACAATCAATAGTGAAGGATTGAATTACAGTAATCATACTAATAATACTAATGGTTTAGATTCAAACAACAAATTATTAATATTAAATGGAAATGATAAAGAAGACATATACAGTTGGAGTGATCAATCATCAGAATTAACTACTTATCGTGATTGTCTTTCCTCTTTTCGTCAACTCTCATCTGATTCATCCAATAAACTCAAATCCAATAACAATCCTTATGATCATGAATTATCCTCAGTGAATACAACTGAGTCGGGTTTAAATGAAAACAAACATCAACAATCAACATTGAAAAAATTCAATAAAAGTCAAAATTCATTGTTACATTTTACAAAACCATCATATCTACGTCCAACATTATCATCTTCTTCTTCATGGTCATCAGCTAATTCTTTATGTTCAATGAATCGAATAGGACAACGTGAATCGACAGTGAATATTGATAGTGATTATTCAATGTCGACTAATAAGGTAGATTATGTTTTAAATGAGTTTTCGTTGTTGTTATTATTATTTATCTACTTATTATGAATGATTTACTACTGATAAAAAAAAAAGATTGAGAATAACCATGATTTGTGAAGCTGAAAGAAATCTGGTTCGTGAAATGACTTGAACCGATAATGTATATTAACCATCGGTGAGTTAAGTCACCGACAACTCATGTACAAAATCCATACTACAGACTGAATTTCAGTGACATAATTAGATTTCATAATTTCATTCATAAAATTGTACTTGATCAATGAAATTATATTAAAATTAATTAATATTAAAGTCATTAAGTGTTTTCTCCAGTTCTGAATACTTTGTCAATACTTTCTATCAATGCATTCACATAAAAAATGTTTGTCATTTTTCTTTAATCATTAATACAGGTTTTAAAATCTTCTCGTAGTACACATAGTATTCGAAGTACACCACAAAAAACAACAGTCAATGTGGAATTCGATCAGATCCAGTCAAATGGAATAAAAACGCCAACTAGTCAAACCAATTATTATTTACCTGTTCATCAATTGCATAATAACACAAATTCATTCAAAAACAATACAGATCCACATTATTTACCATGTGAACAAATACGATCACCGGTTATTGCGAATAAAACTAACAACAACAACAACAACAACAAAACTAGCTATTATCATAGTCCTGTCATACAAAATCGTACAGGACAATCCATTCAAAAAGTTCATGATCATCGTCATGCACCTTATTCAGGAGTAACAAAACAGAATAAAGGATTACGTATAGTCTCATCAGCGATAAATCTCTCTCAAATTCCTTCAGATTCTTCAAATCACAGACGACATGGTAATCATTCACCTAGAGTTATTGAACGAGCCAAGTTGTAGATTACAATTGAGTAGTTGTTATTTTTTTTTTGATTCTGAAGAAAAGAAATTTTTAAGTAAGTTTAATTTTGATTTTCACTAATAATAATAATTTTTATGTAAGCTATCTGTTATAAATTTGGATTTTATGAATAATTACTACTGGGTCTCACAGTCTCAAATCAGTTTATCCAAATCAACATAATGATCACAGTCTTAGTCATATTAGTATCCTGATACACACTATAACAATCATTTTATGTAAATTATAAATATAAAATAACTTGTTATATAGCCGGAAAAAGTCTATTCTGTTTAGGATAGAAAGTGTGAACGGTTAAAATGTCCCAAACTCTGATACAGACTGAGTTCCCATAGCTCTCTAGATAATACCGGTTAGTAAAAAATTTACTTTTGAATTATCAAAGTCTATACAAAACAATATTCCTATGCTCAATAGTGATGAAGTTTGTGACAGATTTCTTGAAGTTGTGGAAGTGACTGATTCGGCTGAAAATATTTATTAGTTAAAATATAATGTAATTTCATGACATTAATCGGAAGCCGTTAGATCTGAATAATCTGTGACGTGATTATTGAGTGCGTCCGTTGTTAAAAATGTAAATTACTGTGTAGTTTAATATGATTGGACGCTCCGTGTTAGTCCTGATACTCCTGATCTTAATCGCCAATGAACTTACAGATGAGGAGTCCCCTACTAGAATGAGTAACAGTAGATTACTTCTTAGTTTTTAATGGTTGTCAGACTTTGATACAAACTAAAGACTTTATGTTCGAAGTTTAATTTATAAGTTATCGGTTAACCAAATCTTGAATAAAAGTTATTTTTGTGAAATGACTCTTCAGTTTGAAGATGATTTTTCCATGAATCGACGCGAGCCAGTGAATCACAAAATCATAGATCTGAACAACTATTTCGTATTACGTTAAGACTGCTCGATAACTATCTGCCACAATGGTTAAAAAGTAAGATGAAATCAATCGAAGCTACTATAGGAGGATTTTCAATGATATTACAAACATTATCTTTGAAACTGTTTGAAATTGTTATTATGTTTGAATCATTCTGCAATAAGCTTTTCCTGTATTAACTCTTCAGTACAACTAGCTTATCATATGAATCTCTATTCGAAGTTGCCTGTAACAACACAAGTTTAAATAACTGAACATTGAAATCAAGCCGTATTATTATAGACATTCTGTTGAAAACTTCGCTTTAAATTCTTGACATTTGATAAACAAGCCAACAGTTTATGTAATTTGCTTGAAGTAGTATGACCTTTGTCTTCAATCTAGTAAATGGGCGGAATCACTCTATATCGAACATTTCCTTAGCTTCAAACTTAGATTTCGTACTTAGTCGTCCTCTTAAACAGTTTGTACTTACAGCTACTAGAAACTTCTGTGTCAACTGAGTCACATTAAGAATTGAACATCAACCACAAGTTTAATATCAACACTCTCCACGTAGTGACCTCAATAAACCATATGATATGACATTATTTTTCTATCGGGTAATAGTGATACCATAAGTCTGATTAGAATGAAAATTTCAGGCACTAAAATATGTTATATTTCAAGAAAATTCTCCATTGTAACCTTTTAACTTATAAATATCCAAGTAATATATATATATATATATATATATATATATATATATATATATATAAAGCATTTCAACTGTGTTGAGATGCCATTCACATTCACTTGTAAATATTTACTCTTAGTTTTTCTTTCCGTAACTTTTCTTTCTATTCCACATTATTTATGATGCATGAATTATACAGTGATTCCTACTAGTCTATCCAAGGGATAGAGAAGGTGGGAAACAGACTAACTATTCCAGTGGTGCTTGTGTTCTTCAGTAATTAGGCTCATTATATATATATATATATATATATATATATATATATATATATATATATATATATATATATATCTTTTATGAAAGTATATGAGCGCATGCAGTCAGAAAACATAATTACTTAATTCTTAACAGTAAATTTACTCTTTATCAAAAACAGGGCATTCAGAGGCTCTCACAAGTTTATGTAATCAATCCACTTCCACAATCAATTAAAATCCAATTTGACATTATTTGCCACTTAATAAAAAGTGTTTGCATCTTTCAGACATTTTCATCAGTCAGACACTTTATTTTTTGGCATGTAAACACTATGTTCAATTGATAGTTGAAATGTATTCATTCATTGTCAGTGCTAAAATATACCAAATCATTTTTTTTATGAAAACATTTGTCTAGTGTATCAGAAATGAAATAAGTTATTTCGTGAAATGGTAAAATTTTTTTTACTTGCTAGTTAGTTTGATTTTGATTTTCTTGTATTACCCTGTTTAACATGATGGATGATGCATTTACAAGGTTGTCAAGATGATGTGCATTATCAACTAATGCAAATGAGAACAGGAAAATATCTGTTAGTAAAAAGTAGATTTTAAGATTTTATATTGAAATACTATTTTTTTTTACATGAATTTACATTTCCTTTACATTTCCTTTTAAAAAAAATTTGTTTGAAATTACATTAAACAGATTTAAAAAAAAATTTTATGATGATCATCATAAAGTGTAAACCTTTCCAAATACTCCCGGTTACATTTGCACTTAGGTGCATGTATGAATGAATAAAACTTCTTATTTGACCAATTATTTTTTCTATTGCAACAGTGATATGTAATATTTTGACGTATTGGTGTATTAATTACAAACGTCACTGATCAATAGTGTTTACTATCTTTGTATTAGGGATGTATACTATTCTAAATCATAGACTGTTGAATAAATAAAATAGTTGATATGATTTCTGTTTTAGAGAATCGATCGTAAATTGATTTGTAAATTAGCGAATGGAACAAGTTTTAGAAACCTCCATTTTAATAACTAGGTTCTTATTTGGGGCCATTTAGTTGTATTTTGTAACTTTCGATGAAGCAATATGTTAAATAAAAATAATACTGAAGAATTATGTAACAAGTAGAAGTTAATGCTTAATTAACAATAGAATGTACTTTTATATGTTATTACTGTTCTGACACAAGTTTTACACTTATTTTCTATATAGTGCAGATCATGTAACTCATTTGACAAGTACAGATTAATAATGCTTTTCAGCTTAAAACCAAGATTAATTAATGATACTGTCCAGCTCCCTAAACGGAAGTACATGAAGAGAGACTCTAGTCTGAGACTTAGTAACTGAAAGAAGAACTATTTAACCACTAAGTCTTCTCCTCGGTGGTTGCTCTTTTCTATATACACAATTATTCCTAAATGAATTTTCTCTACATTTATTGATGATAAGCGATCATTGATTGAAATCTACTGAGTTATTTTTTAATATTTGAAGTTAAAATATATGATGAACAAATCTAAATTAAATTATAGATTAACGTATAGTAATTATTTAACCCTAATTTATCCAATGACCCACATTTCTATGACATAAATAACATGCTACTAGAGTGAAAGAAAATAAAGTTTTCATGGTTAGCTTTACTGAGAAATCCAAATAACAATTTACACAAATCATATGTAAATATAAATTACATAACTGGTCCCGATGAGTACATTTGAATGATAACCATGGCTTGGCTGGCAGTTGACTACCTACGTTTGAATCTCCTACTTATTATGTTGTCTTCTGGTTAAGTGTGATCCACCAAGAGTTGCCAAACATATCAGTCTTTCTTCTTGGAAAGCTCTTTTTGTATTCACCTGTATCATTTGGTATAGAGGGTATATTAACAATCACTTAATCAGAATTTTAATTTTCTTAAATAAACTATTGATTTTAGACACTGATATACTCATCAACCGATATGCTTGAATGATATTACGAGTTCACCTTACTTGGTAAACAGAATGAAGGTCAATGATACAGTGACACGATAGACTATTCCAATCCGATTGCTTCAGGCTCCGCTGACAAAAGCAAGAAGTCTTAATGAAGAGTAGAGAATGTATTCTACAGGCATCCAGAAAGATTGATGTTCCTAAGCACATAAATCAAGCTTATTTATATAATGATAGAAACGCCCTTGGTGTGAGCCAAAAAAATAGCGCACTAAAATAATCCGTCAACCAATGACAGCCAAAGATGTTCCGAGTGAGAAATGTAAGCTGAATGTCAACCGGCGCAAAAACATGGAAATTCAAAATTGCAGAATAAAATTACAAAATCAAGACTTATTCCAAGTCAGTTCTGGGAATCTAACGTCCCCAACAAACACTAACAACTAGCAAGTATAAATACATTTATAATGGCTAGGAAAAACGACGAGCAAGTATGAAGGGTATCTGGGACACAAGGGGAGATTACGTTAGAGGTATGAAACAACACAATTTTTCTATCTCTGATTTCAGAACCACATAATTAAATGGTTTTCTATTTTGCCAAAATACAAATAAAGTCAGCTGACTCCAACGTACTACCAGCCTTTTTTTCTTATGCAGTCTTCAGAATACTACATTCTACCAGGTTAAATCATATATGTTAAGAATCATTAGACAAGAAAAGTATTTACAACAACTATAGTACAGATTAACTTGACGGGGATTATTGATTACTGAAAAAAATTGTTGTAACACTATTTATGAACCTGATGGTTTAAATTGGCAAAATAAACAGTTACATAGTATGTTTCAAATTGTTAATTAAGTTTAAATTTTTTCCAAGGTGAACATACAGTAAAAAAAAAAGAAATACTAATAATATTTCAACTTGGTTTATTATGTAGCTACATTACTGAATGATATACATCTCATTAAAAACGGACTAATCATTTTTAAGTGATCTATTAGCCAATACCATCAGACTTATAGTGAATCTACACTTAGATCATGTTCATTTGCCCGTATGCATGATATGGACACATGTCAAACTATTCTACTTTTTTTCGGGCAGAGTTTTGGAGGTTTTGTGTTTTTACACATTTGAAATCATCAATCAATCATTGTTAGACCACCATTAGAAACCTGGAAGCACTGGACGGCCGTTTCGTTCGAATCCTGAGAGGTGCAGGAGTCATGGATGCGCACTGCTGATGATTCCCATACCAGGACGAAATGGCCGTCCAGTGCTTCCAGGTTTCTAATGGTGGTCTAACAATGATTGATTGATGATTTCAAATATTCTACTTTTGACTACCTTTACTAATATTTCTAAATAATTTTGTGGCTCGCAAAGAATTCAATGATTGACTGTGGCTTGTCTATTTCTGTCACAGGGAAACTACATCATAACAAAAAGATTGGAAATTCAATTGATTTTGGCTTGATGAATACAATTTTATTTTAGATATTACAGCCTAGATAAAAGTTATGACTTGCAAAGTACATACACTTGTGTAGTAATTCACAATAATCATGTTGAACCAAGTCATTTTAAAGGTGAATAACTGTAACAATCTCATATTAGACATTGATATTTGATCATTTCAGGTGTTTAATTACATTGACTCTGTTACAGTGTTCACTGTTTTGTCACTACAAGATTACATTAAACCAAATTTGAAGTTTGAACTAGTGGTGGTTCTGCTTTAACGCATTTTGTTTAATGACAGTAGAGTATATAGTTGAGTTTTAGTCAATATTCAAAATAATATAATCAAGATAAAAACTCTTTGAGTGAATTTAAACTTCAGGCATGACAGTCAAACACTATATATATAAACTGTTCAAAGTGAAGCTAACATACTAATTAAACATTGTCATCAATTTTATTCTATAAAATTACACATTTATTCATATTACCTTATAGATTGTTTTCTGCATATAATTAACCTTTCTAGACATTGGTTTTTGACATTTTTTTTAAACAAAACTTGGTCCGAGACAATTATTGATGTTTATGCATTTCTTAAATTTGGTTTATTACCATTTAAGCTTTAGTACAATGACTAATTCTTGTACGTTTTAACATGCATGTTAGTGTAGAACTTTTAAAATTGTTTTCATCAAAACTTAGAACATCCTGACTTTTGAAATATTCACATTTTTGTTTTACTCACTGAACCAATCAATATGGATTGGGAGTTAATGATCCAATCAACTGTATCAAGAAAAAAATTGTTTTCAACCTAAAATATATCACTAGATATTATGATGTTTGAGTTAAGTATGAGTATATAAACATCAGTTAGTGATGAGAATTAGTTACAGATATAATGAATGGAAAAGTAAATATCTAACATGTCATTACTTCAGAAAAGTCTTAAACTCGCTGTTCTAGTTTCAAAGTAAATTTTCTTAACTGGTTAATATTAAGCTTTATTTAAATTGTCTATTGCTTTAAACGTAATCAAAGAATTGTATAAGTGATAATATCTGTAACTGACGAAGAAAATGATAACTACGAATGTTCTAGCTGAGGCAATTATTATTTAGTATGAATGTGGGAAATTTCATTTTTGTGTCTAGAAATATCTTACACTCTTGTTTCATAGCTGCAGGGATTTTTTCAGCTATCTAGACGTACAGTATATGACTAATATAATATCAGTTTGAAGACATTCAGTGTGTTTTATACACATAATCTGTAAGTACCATCAAGGTACTGACGAAAATTAGCTGTAGTCAACAGTAGAACTAATTGTTATCATTATGATTCCACATATGTAACTTAACAATTTTCATAACGCCGTAATGCAATTACCTGTGCTTACTAGTGACTAGCTCCGTGAGGAATCTTCTCCGAGTTCTAGTGGGAAGTCGTGACCAGTAAAGTTCAACCTGTTCGGGTGCAGGCAGTAACTACCGAAGACAGTGTATGAGGTTGCGCAAGACCGTGAATTGATCGAAGTTAGACATTAACACCTTTAGGTACCGGCTCAGTGGTCCGGAGGTTCGCGCGCAAGACCGAAGGTCCTGGGTTCGGACCCTGCGAGGTGCAGGAGTCGTGGATGCACACTGCTGATGAGTCCCATATCAGGACGAAACGGCCGTCCAGTGCTTCCAGGTTTCTAATGGTGATCTAACATTGATCATTTCATGATTTCAAATGTGTAACTTAACAATCTTCTCAACCCCGCAATTTATTATTAATATCATCAAAGTCACTATATATATCCAAATAAACTGAAGCTACACAAATCAATTCATTTAAAAGAACCGTTTTTTTGTATGCTGGGAGCTAATAATCATGGGTTTTATTTTTATCTAATTTACCCTAGATTTAAACCACATGTATGGATGGAATCGACCCGTGTCAGTTTGATATGTCAATGAATGCACATAATTCATTTATAAAATAATCATGTGATGTATCTCACCCTGTGTGTGTGCGTACTCCCTGTGATGATAAAAACGATGCTATGGAGAAAAAAAGAAATTTGAAATGCTATTGTTTACATTGTTTCTTGTATACTGCCCTCATTATCTTTTCAAATAATGATTAATCATTCATTGAAATTGATCATTTTACCAATGACAATGACAGTATTCTGTAGATCCATTTCAATTTTAAATGAATTTCATTTTTCTGATTATTTTTTCTTTTTTCTTCATCACACACACACTATTGATATCTATCCTGTTTTGTTATAAAGTTACAAAGATTTCTGTAAACTTTTCCAATTATTTCAATCACATTTTATTTTATTTCTATATATTTAATCATTTCTTATTGTAGAAATGAAGCGCTTCAATTGATTTAACCTTTAGGTGGAAAAAGCTAAGTGTTATTTCCTTCTTTAGTAAAAATTATTTCACTTACCATATATATATATATTTATCTGTTTAAAAGAATGTGTACATTTATGTGTGTATGTGTGCGCGCACACACACTCGTTTTCTGTCTAAATACCTTGATAATTTATGTACAAAACTGTCTACATTTGTACTAACTTACTTTCTAATTTTACAACCACAAGCTGTGAAGTGTACTATGTGAAAACGCTCATTGATATAATTATCTGATCGTTAATTCAAGAAGAACAAGTAATAAATAAATTCATTTTGTATTATTAGAAGGGTTATTTTAAAAAAAAAAGAAATTACTAAGAGACTGCAGAGTAGTATTTGCCATAGGTCAACGTCAAGTGTATGTACCAAGAGTTATTGAACAACTGTCTCGTCCTAATGCGGAACTCTTTAAAGTTAGCCAATCTCTACAAAACCTTTTTAGATAAACTATCAAAAGAATCATTGACGAATCCGAAGGTTAAATTGTCTGATTTGCTTTGAGTACAAATTAATATAAAACAAATTGATATACATCATACAAATACTTATAGAGTCGATTACAGCGATAAGAATAAATAGATTACACTAAACACCATGAATATGAACAGAACTATGCATAAATCACTGAGACTCAGATATAAAAGATACTAGGAGAGTACAAGAGATGATTGAGAAGAACTATTATTGCTGGTTTGATTCTGTTGATTAAGCTTCAGTCGGATCGTAATACTAAAGGCTTACACCTTATATTTTCTTACGTGATGTTACATACGTTCAACGTAATCTAGATAAAATACTAGATCAAGGTTTAATTCTAGGTGGTATTTATTACCAAAGCACATCTATAATCTTAAGAGCGTTTATGCTCTCTTTATACTCTCCCTTTTAACATACACTTCTAATGCAATATCTCTATTAGATGATCTTTATGGGAGTCTCAAATGGAATAACAGTTTCCTCTAGATTGTATGAACAGCTCGTTGAAAAACACCAATCAGTAATAAACTACTTTAAGGCTTCCTTCGGACTGCTTTCATGTACATGGCACATAATGACTTCCCACTGCCAAATCATTGTCCTGATGACTATTGATAAATGCAACATGGGAAAATCTGTGTAGATGATTCCAGTGAATCATATGTGATTTAGGAGGTGTATATGAAAATCGAATACAAAGTAAATGAAGAACCTGTATTCCAAGGATTTCTAGAATTGTTTGGAACGATAGAAACGAAAAATAGGATAAATATATTATCATAAATGAGGAATATTTTCAAGAAGATAGGTTCAGTGTATCAAAAAGTGTATAAAACAAAGTTTTTTTAATCTCAGTCCGTGTACAATTAGTCAGTAGATCATTCACTTAATTTAACAAATCTGATTTTTAAAAATTTTGAATTTATGATAAATTTTTATTGACTTCAAAATTTTATTTAGCGAATTCAATAAAAGGAAACAAATATCCAAGTCTCATATTTATTATTCTAAACTATAGTCGCAGTATTATGAACTTGAAATCAAGCAGTTGCATCACAACTGAAAAATCCCTGTGTCCTTTTTTTCATTCAAACAACTGAATTGATCAGTTTGTATAGGGAAAATCAGAATCAAGTTACATCTTGTTTACTTTTTGCTCTTACTGATGAATATAATCGATCATATTTTTAAAGGTTTTCTTATCTGAAGTAAAACATTGACTTCAGGTTTTTTGGTCATCTGAGTCAGATCAAATTAAAAAACTTTCAGAGACGGTGTATTAAAAGTAAATCATCAGTTAACTGGGAAAGCCATGTTCATTATCATTACAGTTCAATTAGTAATTGTTAAATTTCAAGACTTAATGTAAATTTCATTTTCAAGAAAATAATCACAAGGGAGATTTAAAAGTGCACATTTTCTCTATCAAAAAAAAACCTGTGTAAAATAATTCAGAAAAAAAGTGACAGTATTCTGAATATCATTTTCCGTAGTAGATTGACATCAACCGGAGAATGATCGAAAGCTAGATTTCTCTGAATGTCTGAGAAATCTCAGTTTAAAACTATTGCGAATTCATCACCCTTCTAAGTATTGAATTCAAAATCTTCTAGTCTCATGATAAATACAATACATTCAAAATATTCACTGAGGTTTAGGATTCTCAAATTCAAAATATTCACAATGTATTGTTGACATGATCACTCAACACTATTGCTCAGTAATTACTTGTGTATTATTTTATAGTTACTGATCAATTTCCAATGGATAAGAAATTTGACACTTGATAAATAAAAAAATTAATACTAATAATCAACTTAATTTTTTGAAACTACTGAATAAATACTAATAGTCATAAAATTGTTAATCATAATGAATGTATAGCTTGGCATAAATTTGTGTTAGCCTGTGGCGTTGAACTTTTGTTATCTTCGGAATTCCGTATATCTCCGTCTTGATCGTTACTGAAGAACACGAGTCGTTGCCACAATTTCTTTATAATTCAAATTATTTAGTGATCGATACAATTATCGTATTTAATTCAAATATGCATAGTCGATAATGACATCAAATTATCCAAACTGTTAATCTATAAAGCTAGTCAAATAACTATATGTGTAGGTGGCAAGTAATGCCCAAGCATACAAGCGCATACAAGCTCAACAATGATAAAAGTACAAGATATATGTGAGGTGCTATAAGCCCAGGTTGTTGTACCAAATTAGCATAGTGTGACGAATTTTTGCCAAATCAACAGTAAATAGACTGACATAGTGAAGTGAAAGTAAAAATAAGAAAGATTAAATGCTGAGATCATTTGAAGAAATCGATGAACATGTATGTATAAATGAATGCGGGGGAACTCGAAATCTATGAGAAGATGAGTGAAAACTGTGCAAACTAATGTATAATTATCAAACTACATCATGCTGCACTTATTCTTATTGATTGGTCGATTGATTGATATGTTAAACACTGATCATTCAGTCCTATGTGATATCGACCAACAACGATTGTAAGTAATCTTTACAATAAAACGAAAAATCATTCTTAACTTGGAAATTTTTCAAACTTTTCCGATAGTTAAACACAAACTAATCAACAGTTCTTATTAAATTTCAGGCTATCACTAAAATAAGATTCAATTATGTTAACTAGTAAATATTATCAGTACGACTATTGAAAAACCTATCACTCTCCTCATGTTTATATTATGGTTGATAAATAAAATTTTAACAAATTGACCGTACTTATCTTTTTTTTAATGATCTTTCACGATTAACTAACTTTCGTTGTGAATAAATTTGTATACAAGACTCCTACTGAAACGCAGACTTATGGATTTGAAGTCTATGAAAGATTTTTACAGTCAAACATCATAATTAAATGACCAACTACTTGGTATATATCGTCCATCATTAACAAAATTTTCAACTAGGCACAAAGAGAAGATAAAACATTTACTGAATGAGGTTATGGATAAGACATGAATATTACTTGAGAATTAAGAATGAAAAAAACTATTCTGTATGGAAATAATGATAAAATTTTTGAACATTTATCATGACTCTCTCACATCTCTTTGTGATATAAAACATAATTATTCAGTTTTTTATGTCGTCAACTATAATTTAACCCACTCGGATGCGCCATAGAATGTTTCTATTCCCAAACTTTCAATCGAAACAACAGAAGAAATGAAATTTGGTCACAAATATCTTTTAAAATTTTGATTTGCTGCTTATGTGGTCATATATAAGTAAAAACAAAGACAAAGACAACATTTTGATAAATGCACAACTAAGAAATGTTAAATACAAGCTGCGTAATAAAATTTTGGTTAATTGACAGTTATTTTCAAACTATAAAACATCCAGTTATAAACAATTGGTCAGAAGAAAGCTTTCAATTAGGACTATATAAAAGATGCTGCAAAATAGTATCTTTTATTAACATTCGAAATTTTTAAAGAATTATTTACTGAAGAGCTTACTTACTCCTGTTGCCCCAAATGGAACATAGGCCGCCAACCATTATTATCCAACTAACTCTGTCCTGGGCTTTCTTTTCTAATTCTCTTCAAATTCCGTTCATTCTTTTCATGTGTGTTCCCACTTCTTGGTGCAGTGTGTTGTTTGGTCTACCACTTTTCCTTTCTCATTTACGGTTCCAAGTTAGGGCGTGCATTATGACGCACCTGGATGCTTTCTTCGATGTGTGTCCTATATACCTCCAGCACTTTCACCTAATTTCTTCCTTTGTGAATGCATTTATATGGGAACATTGTACCACCGATGATCAGTTTTCTGAAGGAACATAGATTTGAGAATCTCTCACCGTTTTCGTTGCTTTCTCCCAACCCATTCCTTCACATAATATCTCTATATCTGGTATTGTCCATTCCAACCTTGGCATTCAGGTCTCTCATCAGAATGGTCAAGTCCTTTAGTGGGTACGTCTCGACGATCGACTTCAGTCTTTCATAGAATTGATTTTTAGTGTCTTCACTGTAATCGTTAGTAGGCGCATAACACCGGATGACATTCATTGTAAATCCCTTTTTCTCAAAGGATGACTTGACGACCCCGGGTTCATGAGATTCCCATCCTGTCAGTGCCTTCTGGGCTTGTTGGATAGCATCAGTGCAACTTCTTGTGTATGTGGAGCGTTTTCTTTTTCATGGTCGGAGTATAACAACAGCTCTCTTGAAGCTAGTCTTATTTTTACTGATTCCAAGCACCACTAGGCTGTATATTTTCATTTCTTCAGAAACTTGAATGGTTCTGCCGGTCTCCCACAATGTATGAACATTCCATGTACCAAAATTAATAGTTGCTCTGGTTGTCAGAAGGGGCATCGGCCTTGTTACCGCCGAAGAAACTCTGCTTTCATCACGAAGCTTCTTAACTTTTCTAAATGAAAACCTGCCAGAGACCAGGGTAGAGTTTAAATGGTATGAATTATTTGTTTTTGTTAGCGTTTTTTTTAGCGAATTAGTTATTGATGTATTCGCTAGGACTGGCAGTAAATGGCAGTAACCCTAGAAAGGCTCCCAGCGGTCAGTAGGTTTATCATTATATGATGCCTCCTCCATATACAAGGTTTGAATTTTACACTGTAAATGTGTAACCTGGAATGAAAGATATTATGTACTGAATTTTGTTTAACTGACTTGAAATTTCTGAGAATACAGAGAATCGATTGAAAATCAAAATTTTAATATACTGCTTTACTACTGAATTCTATTAAGTAGGCTAAAAATGATTGAAAAATATCTAAAACTTTTACTAATGTTATCCACTT